TATTTTAGACCTGAAAAATCAACAAAAATAATATAATTATAAATATAAAAAGTGTTGGAGCATTATTATTTTTACATGTTTGCACTTTTTACTTCACTGAGATTAGAATTTTATTTCATGCGCGTAAAAATGTATTATATAAGGCAAATTATCATTTGAAAAGAAAAACACAACACATTACTAATTTAAAAATTAGGTAAAATAATATGAATTGCACACAACATGATTTTCTGTAATTTTATGTTTGCGTAAGATGGTAATATCGTTTTATTACAAAAAGTATTTTAGTCATCGTCTATTCAGTTCCACGTCATTGTCTTCGATTTTAATTGGAAAAGAAGAAAACAAGCACTGCATTCATTACAATACGAAAAATTTTTTTTTCTTAGAATTTTGACTGATCATGTTAAACGCATGTAACTCAAAGCCAATCGCGGAATTTTAATTCGTGTTAAATTGAAATCGTGTAAGAATGTAATTTCATTTCTTTAATCAATATAAAATTTACATTTAAATTTGTAAATTGATATATATATTAAAATTTATATTAACACAAATTTAATATTTCATTTCTTTCAGTTCTTTAAAAGTATAATACTGCATAAACAATCTAATTACGTCCAATCTGGGGATTTCTGTGTATTTTTAATTTTTATGAACGTTCAATTTATGTAGAAACCTGCCTTATCTACTTTATCATGTAATAATCATTCTATTTTAGATATCTTACATATTTGTGTGTTGCGCCTTACGCATTCGTTTCTTACACCTTTCAGACCTTCGTGAATGCGTAAAAATCCGCAGTCTAACAACGACAGACAAAAGAAAATTTAAAATGATGATAAGATAGGAAGCATTGTTTAAAAGTTTGACGAAGCACAAACTTCAGTTCCGACGGAGTTCAATTTCCTTTTCGTCCATCGTGTTTCGTTCGCGGCGGCTTGAAAAATTTGGCGGGCCATTTCGAAACGGCTGATGATTACGCGATGAACGCGTTTTGGCACCTGCTTGCGTCACTTACGTCAGAACGATCATACACGAGGGCACGGGAACAATTTTAGACGGACACGAAATTCACCCGGTTTGAAGTGCAACTCGACCGCGAATCGCGGCTGACGTCAGTGTTTGCATTGCGTGCCACTGTCCACGATTTCTTCTTCTCCCTTTTAACTCCTTGTGCTGGCAATTGGTTCGCGGACCATAACGAGTGACCGAACCGTATACAATAATTCGTTGTTTTCTTTGGAACTGGTCGGTATACCACTGGATAGAAATTATTAAGAACTAATGAACTTATCATTTGTTTTGCCTGAGTTATACTTTAATTGTAATATGTAATATTAATATATAATAATGTAATAATAGTATATAATATATAATAATGTAACATAATATTTTAATAATGTTATTTGTATATAATATAATAATATAATATTATAATAATATTATTTGTATATAATATAATAATATATTTACAAATAATATATTATTAATAATAATATATTTATAATATTATTTGTATATAATATAATAATATATTTACAAATAAAATATTATTTGTATATAATATAATAATATATTTACAAATAAAATATTATTAATAATAATATATTTATAATATTATTTGTATATAATATAATAATATATTTACAAATAAAATATTATTAATAATAATATATTTACAAATAATATATTATTAATAATAATATATTTACAATATTTGTATATAATATAATATATTTACAAATAATATATTATCATTATAATATTATAATATATAATATATTATTATATTATATTATAATAATATATTTATAATATTTGTATATAATATAATATTATATTTATATGATATAATAATATAATATATTATTTGTATTTTTTCATTTGTTATTACTATTATTATTCAGTGTACTTAAAACCGAGAAAATGTTGCAATTTGGGACAAATAATTATCGACGTGCGTGGCACGTCACTTCAGCGCAAGAGGTTGATTCCTCGAACTCGCTACGAAAAGGAAATGTCAAAGTGGATTTTCCAGGAACTGTTCGAATATGTTATTTCCTGAGAGCGGGAAAGATTCCAGCTCTTTAATTTATACGCGAAATTCCTGTTATCTCTTGGAATTCCCTCCTCCTAGAAGATTCGCTCTGTTCGTCGAATCTTTCAGATTTTACGGGACATTGATCGTTCTATGCGTCATCGATGAGAAGTTCAACGAAATCTCGAGTTTCGTTCAAGTTGGTCGAGTGGTTGATTTTTTTCAGATGTTCTTGGTCGTCCACTCCTCCCTTTATTGAACACTGTTCTTGTCTCCACAAATTTCTTGTACCATGCACGAATTGATGATTTCTTCCACCGTTTAATATTATTATTTTAATATTTTTTAATATTTAATATTATTTGAATTTTTTAATTTTGTAATATTATTTGAATTTTTTAATTTTGTAATATTATTATTTTTAATATTTTCTAATTATTTTTAATTCTTTGTTAATAATATTCACATTTTAATGTTTTAATTTTTTAATTTTTTAATTTTTAAATTTTGTAATATTATTTTAATATTATTATTTTTAATATCATCTAATTATTTTTAATTCTTTGTTAATGATATTCACATTTTAATTTTCAATTTTTAAATTTTAAATTTTAAAATTGAATTTTTAATTTTTAAATTTTAAAATTTTTTAATTTTGTAATATTATTTTAATATTATTTTAATATTATTATTTTTAATATCATCTAATTATTTTTAATTTTTTTAATGATATTCACATTTTAATTTTTAATTTTTAATTTTTAAATTTTCAATTTTAATTTTTAAATTTTTAAATTTTTAAATTTTATAATATTATTTTAATATTATTATTTTTGATATTATCTAATTATTTTTAATTCTTTGTTAATGATATTCACATTAGTTTTAAGTTGTAAAATGTTTATAGAAATATTTGCCAATGGTCATTTCGTCAGTGTGTTATTATAAATTAATTATTGTACAACATGTTCCTCTCAATGCGTTGTTTTTCGTATACTCGATTGTCAACAGCGATGAAAAATGATTCACACGAAATCTTATAGTTGGTGATTTAGTCACACTGGCCCGATCTGTGGACATTTTTAGAATCTTCAGTTCATTTTTCCACGTTAACTGCTTGAAAACCGTGTCGCCGGCGTTCGCATGTTTCTTGAGCATCAAGCATCGCCGGTTCGGGTTGCATGTGACAATTTATTGGCACAGTTTAATCGACTGGACTGGAAACTCGGTGGAAACTTTCCAGAGTAACCTGATCTAATTGACTTTAGTCGGTTGGACGAGGAAACTGACGCAACTTAAGCGCGGTCGATCAACCATTGAATAATTAATACGTGTATTACTTGTTTTGTTGCGATCGCGGGGCAAGGTGGCTGCGAAACGAAAACACCACCCGATATATTTAGAAACGGAAGATAGGGCGTTTATTGCAGCAGTCGCATAAGCTAAAATTAAATTGGAAACGAAGCGTAGGGAAAAACGAACTGTACTCGTGTTGCAAAAATTTCCTCGCTTCTTTTCCTTTCTTCGATTTCTTTTTTTTTTTCTTTAATCTTCTTTAATTGTTCCTTTAATTGATCTCAATTTTTTGTAGTTACTGTCGTTCAATTATTTTTAACTTTTTATATTTAATTTGTATATTTTTATATTTAATTTTTATATTTTATATTTAATTTCTTTATTTTATATTTTTATATTTAATTTTTATATTTTATTAATTAATTATTAATTAATTAATTAATTATATTTAACTTTTTTATTTAATTTCTATATTTTATATTTTTATATTTAATTTCTATATTTTATATTTTTATATTTAATTTCTATATTTTATATTTTTATATTCAATTTCTATATTTTATAATTTTATATTTAATATTTAATTTTTACCACGAAAGAAGTGCTTGAAACTTTGAATTCTGAGATTATGGTTCGAAGTTAAGAGCTTTGGAATTTAACAGTCAGCTTAAAATTTCGCATTAATTTGGAAAATTAATTTTTCTATTGAAAAATTTAGAATTTTAAAATTTAGAAATTTAATAGAAATTTCGATATCGACTATCGAAACAATCTAGAACTTTTAGTCGGTAATATAAATGTTCTTTTTTTCCCTATTTTTTCTTTTGTTTCTAATAATAAGTCTCGATTACCTGCTTTCACTTACCTGTTGTTCCCGTTGTAATTTCATTCGTGTGTTTAGAACGTTGGTAGGAATGCTATTTTTTTTTTTTTTTTGCAAAATAAACATTATGTACATCTTGTATTATTATATTATCGCTCCTGCATAGTTTGTTTTTTGCGTTATGATACGTGATGCAATATTCAATGATACGATGTTTCATGATACCAACTCTCTTCTATAATTCTATGTTTTGAAATGATATATTTTATAGAAATATATGATTATATAAAAATGTTTTGTTTAATGAAACATATGATAATATAATAATGTTTTGAAATTACATATTTTATACTTTATATTTAATTATATATTTATTATACTGTTATATTTAATTATATATTTAATTATATAGTGTTATACATCGTGATGCTAATAATAAATTCTGTATGCAACATTACATTTCGTACTAAAATACTTTGTCTAAGTCAAGGAATATAACGGCTTGCTTATAGTATCATACTACTGTAGAATACTACGTTGCATAACAGTACTATCTACAGTATTATGTTCTATGCTATCATGTTCTATAGTGCAGGTTTTTTAATAGTATTACACTTTATAGTAACGTGTTTCGCAATAGTGTGTATCAGTGAAGTGTGTTTTATAATACACAGTAGAACTGCATATTATTTCCGAGTCACTTCAAACACACATGCTTTTATGTCACAAATGAATCTTTTCCAGTATTTTTTTTTGATCGCATTATGCGAGATTTTACTGTAATACTATTTTCCTTTTATCTTATATTTTATAGTACTTTTAGTTCTATAGTAGACAACGTTAACAACGTTCCATAGTTCTATGTTCCATAATATGATGTCCCATTGTATTATGTTCCATAGTTCTACGTTCCATAGTTCTATGCTTCATAATATCATGTTCCATTGTATTATGTTCCATAGTACGACGTTCCATAATATGATGTTCCATTGTATTATGTTCCATAGTACGACGTTCCATAATATGATGTTCCATTGTATTATGTTCCATAGTACGACGTTCCATAATATGATGTTCCATTGTATTATGTTCCATAGTACGACGTTCCATAATATGATGTTCCATTGTATTATGTTCCATAGTACGACGTTCCATAATATGATGTTCCATTGTATTATGTTCCATAGTACGACGTTCCATAGTATGATGTTCCATTGTATTATGTTCCATAGGTCTATGTTCTATAGGTCTACGTTCCATAGTATGATGTTTCATAATTCTACGTTCCATAGTATGATGTTCTATTGTATTAGGTTCCATAGTTCTATGCTTCATAATATTTTGTTCCATTGTATTATGTTCCATAGTATTGTGTTCCATAGTTTTACGTTCCATAATATAACGTTTCATAATTCTACATCCCATTAGTATGACATTCCATAGTACAACGTACCATAGTATAACGTTCCACGGTACTACATTCCATGTATATAGTTAGTATGTTGCATACTACTGTGTTCCATTCTACGTTTCATAATGCTGTATGTGTATATCATTACGTATTCGCAATATTACTTTTTACTTAGTATTTCATTACACAGTATTAGTGTGTTTCACGATACTAATTTCCATAAAAGTACGTTCCGCGGTATTATATAGCGTTTCATGGTGTTACACTATATTCCCCATTAGGTCATTGAGTTACAACTCGCAATTTTTTGTGAGTAAATAAATTAATATGAATTCTATTAATTATTAAAGCATACATGTACATACATAGTGTAATAGGTGTAAAATACACACAGTATTGCACTTATACACATTGATAATTTCTATTTTCACTGTTTGATTCTATTTATTACAGCATGCACCTAGTAAATATAAGTAATTTTATATGTATCGTATAATTTTTCTCTTTACAACACAAAATCAGTAACATATTTTTAATGATATAATATTATCATTAGCATTCATCATACACTCAATTCTATCACTCTTCTAATAAATGAGTTTAATCAGTGTTAATTAAATAATAAGATCATGTAAAGATTATTATTAATATGTATTTATGCAATAACTAAATAGTAATAAAAACTTAATAGTAATTAAAATAACTTAATAGTAATTAAATTTCGACCAAATTCTTCAATTTTATTCACTTAAAGTATTAACGATCGAATCTCAAAATATGTTGATTTGTCACGAACTGATTCTTTAATAGATATTATTTTCTTTCTTTGAATGGTTGACTTGGAAAAACCTTTTAATAGATACTATTTTTTCACAGTTTACCCTTGTATCTATTTTCTTTGTAACACCTAGCTCGCATTTTAACCATATAATTATGACAAGAACGAATGTGAAATACGTAACGAAATACAAGAAACATCATGAAAAAAGAATCGTAGAATCTTTTTTAAAGAGTTGAAACACAATCCACCGCGGTGTAACAATTCCCCTATTCTATTTCTACTTTAATGAATCGTATTTTCAGCTGAAAAATCTGCACGAGAAATTCCTAATTTGTTGTGTCATTAGTCTAACGATATTTATTATTAGACTGTGGATTTTTGTGCATTTATGAAAAGAAATTTACAAACGTACCGACGTAGAATATATATAATACACAAAAATATATAAAATATTCAAAATACACAGTTATATATTATATAACCTGTTATCATAGATGAAACAAATCTTTGCTTAAGTTTTACTGTCTATATTTTCACAAATATGAATGAAATATTTTAATGAATTTGCATGAAAATCAGCAATCTGACAGAGCAAGTCGGCTAATATTGAAAGTTGAAATATTATCGAAACTATTAAAATATTATCATTTCAGACGATAATTAAGTGCTTTTGAAGCAAACATAAGATATGTACAGTTAATATTTCTGCAACAGAAGGCAGTTATGTATTTTTCCAAATAGAATCCAAACAAAATAATATTTAATGCATATTCTGGTTTATGCTAAAAAATTGTTAATCTACATATGTCCACAAATGTACCATAAATTTAACAGACATTTTAATTTTATTTTATACAAAATAAGGTATTTATATTGTCGATTCATGTTTCTCATTTCTTATTACATATAATCTGTTAGTTTCACAAAATTGAAGTTAAAACATCTGTTAAACTATTGGTTCTACAACATAAATGGTAACATTTTTTTAATAGAAAATAAGATACCTTGGTTAATGTAATAAGAAATGCATGATATTATTTAATGTAATAAATTGATTATATTGGATTATAATTAAAATATGGCCTCTTCAAAGGACATTATGTTCAAAGTAATTAATTACATTAATTGGAGTAGAATGTCCAATATCCGAATTAATAAGGAGACAAAAATGTTCGGTTAAATGAAATTTTCTGGTAATGGAATAATCACTCTTTTAATATTAAATTGTATATATTTAAATTTCAATTAATTTAAGGGTTTATTTTAATATTTAAGAATGATAGGTATTTTTTAGCTGAATTACCTAACTTCTTTATACAGTTACATTCTTTTTGTACTTCTATTTTATAAAGTTTTTTTTACATATAAAATTTTACATATAAAAATTTTGAAAATAAATATATTATACATATTTAGGTATATATCGCGTCCCAAATTTAAATGTCAAAATTTCGGAAGGGGACTGATGCTAACTGAGAAAAAAAAAAAGATTCTCCATGAAAAAATATATTAAAAATAAAGCACAACATTTTTTAATTCATCATTATTTTCGAGAAATGCAAATTTGAAAATGTATCAGGTGTTAAACTTACATTTCAGTTTATTAAAATTCTGGATTGTAGAGGAGTGACTAATCGATAAGAAGTTCATTCCATCTGCGAGAACAAGTGAAAAGTGTAAAATAAAGTTTTTCCATTTAACGCCTCATTTTCAAGAAAACAAAGTTTGAATATATTCAATTTGAAAATCGATTTAGTATATTTGATGAAATTTTAAATTAAATTTCCTCAGAAATGAAATGTCTTGCGAAAAAAATTGTATTTTACACTTTCGACTTATTCTCATAGAATAATTTCCTACTCATTATTTGTTCCTGACAAGTCCAGAATCAGCTGAATCCAATTTTCAAACTTGATCGTCTTGAAAACGGAGCTTTAAATGAAAAAAATTTTATTCTTCATTTTCTATTTATTCTTTCATGTAATATCATCCCCTACACTTCCTGTATATTGTATTGTATTCTATCCTCTTATATTATATTATATTCTATATTATTATATTATATTATATTTTTATTATATATAATTATTATAATATTATATTATATTATATTGTACATTATGTATTATATTATTAATTTTTATTATATATAATTATTATAATATTATATTACATTATATTGTATATTATATATTTTTATTATATAATATAATTATTATAATGTTATTATATTATATTGTATATAAATTATATTATTATTACTATATTATATTATTATTATTATTAATATTATATTATTGTGTAATTATTGTATTGTGTGTGCATATATATATATAATGTATTATATTATTTAATTTTATTATATATAGTTATTATAATATTATATTATATATTGTATATTTTTATTATATAATATGATTATTATAATATTATTAAATTATATATTATATATCTTTCCAATAGTCTAACGTCCATGGAAACTTGTTGATCTTGATCGCTTGCCACGCACAAATAGATCACGATCGGTCAACAGTGGTGAAAATGTCTTTGATCTGATGGTGTGTTTAGTCATTGCGGGAAAGCCAGAATACATGTATAAAGCTGTTTTGAGGGACGCCAGCTGTACGTTTCTTGTTAACGAGACATCAAAGACAACGTAAATTCCTGGACAAGTTAACGAGCGTGTTTATCGTGCCTCGAAAGTTCTCACCCGATGAAAGCCCCGTCGATGGTTAATTACAGTTGTCAGAAACTGAAAACTGCCCGTTTCCCGCCACTTGTCGCAGTTGCAATAAATGCTTGATCGATACTTTCCGTCGGCTGCATCCACGTGCAAAGAAACGCATCTCGTTTCATCCGGCACCCTGGATAAATATTTATAAGAATTGCCTTTTCTCCACCTTCGTCAGAGTCGGCACCGCTGTCAACTTTTATCTAGGTCGCCGGGAATTTCCATAGTTCTCTGTTCGAAACGTGGAATTAAGAAAAGCTAGGTTGGGTCAGGTTGTTGACTATTGGTTCAAACCTTTTTTTTTTTTTAATTCTCTACAGTAACTGACGTGGAATTAGGGAAGCTAAATTGAGTTGCATTGATTCATGAAAATGCTTGATTCAAACAACAAATTCGTAATTTTTACAACTTTTTTTTTTTCTTCATCAGTTCGAACAATTTTTTTCCTACTGTGTCAAATGAGAATGATTGTATTAATAATAATTTATTATTATATTTAATTTAATTTGTATCAATATATATTAATATTAATATTTCATTTATTACTATATTAATAATAATTTATTTATATTGGGTTAATAATATTTTTATATTAATTTTGGTAGTTCGAATAATTTTCTCTGATGTTGGATAAGAATTAATAATAATTTAATAATACTATTATTATATTAATAATTATTATTTATTTAATTATTAATAGAAAAGCGAAATTGGGTTGTTGATATTGATCCAAATGATGAATTCGTAATTTTCACATTAACTTTGGTAGTTTGAATAATTTCTTCTGCCGTGTTAGGCAAGAATCATCATGTAAATTATAATTTATTTATTTAGTAATTAATCTTTTAAAATTTCAAAGTCAAAGAGGGACTTTCTTTATTTTATCACTTTACTTTCATATTATACTGCATCATCTTCTGCAATTATATTGTTCTGCAAATGTTTGAAAATATACATAAAATATCATTTTTCGAGAAATAATTTCTATTTTTGCGTGTATAAAACGTCGTACATTGGAAAAACGCAATATCGCAGAAGTGCACTCTAACAGATTAATATACGATTTCAGTTTAGAATTTTTCGAAGAATAATCATATTGACGTATCATCATATTAGTAATAATTAATATATAAACCTGTTTGCTTAATTATTAATATATAATTTTTCACAAGAATTTTAGAAATTTGTAACGATCTATTCTTGGTCTTGAATAATTTTCTCTATTATACTAGTTAAGAAGTGTTATATTCGCTGAAATGTCCAATTTCTAATTTTCCATGGACAATTTGCAATTCACGTAGATGGAAGCCACTTTAATTTCATAGAATCTGCGAGGACAGCATGAACACTGCCTCCACCTTTCCTCATCTCTCACATAATAGATAGAATGAAGTTTAAAGTACAATTTATATCTATAAAAACTAATAATTTTTCATAATATAATAATTTTCAATACCTTTTTTTTTATAGAGAATGTCGTGCTGCGTCGATTATTGCATTAT